CAATGTATGTTGGGGATTATAACATATGTATAAGTAAAATATATGACAAAATGAATGTTATGAAGGCAGGAAAAGCAGAAACAGCAAGATACCATTGTAAGGTTCTCATAGTATATGTAAAGTTTCATAATATCACTTGAAAATAGACAGTTAAATATGTATTCCATAAGTTGTAAAGCAACCACCAAAATAACAAAATGAAAAGTTATAGCTATTAAGCTAAAAAACGGGATAAGTGGAACCATAAAAAATGCTCAATTAGCTGGATGTGATGGCTTGTGCTTGTAATTCCAGCATTTTAGGAGGCTGAGGCAGGTGGATTATTTTAGGTCAGGAGTTTGAAGCCAGCCTGGCCAACATGGTGAAACCTCATCTCTACTAAAAATACCAAAATTAGCCAGGCATGATAGTGCATGCCTGTAATCCCAGCTATTTGGGAGGCTGAGGTGGGAGGATCACTTGAACCTGGGAGCAGAGGTTGCAGTGAGCCAAGATTGTACAACAGTACTCCAGCCTGGGTGAGAATGAGACTGTCTGAAAGAAAAACACAAAACAAAACACTCAATCCAAAAAAAAGGCAGCAAAATAACAAAAGGGGAACAACAAGCAAGTGGGATAAATAGAAAACAAGGAGCAAGATGGAACCATATCAATAACCACATTAAATGTAAATGTCAGCTGGGTGCAGTGACATACTTATAATCATAGCACTTTGGGAAACTGAGGTAGGAGGTTCACTTGAGGCCAGGAGTTTGAGACCAGCCTGGGCAACATGGTGAGACCCCATCTCCACAAAAGATAAAAATAAAAATTAGGCAGACATGGCAGCATGCACCTGTAATCCTAGCTACTCAGGAGGCTGAGACAGGAGGATCACTTGAGCCTAGGAGTTTGAGGCTGCAGTGAGCAATAATCACACCACTGCACTCCAGCCTGGGCAACAGAGCAAGGCCTTGTCTCTAAAAAAAAAAAATTACCGGCTGGGCGCGGTGGCTCAAGCCTGTAATCCCAGCACTTTGGGAGGCCGAGGCAGGTGGATCACGAGGTCGGCAGATCGAGACCATCCTGGTCAACATGGTGAAACCCCATCTCTACCAAAAATTACAAAAAATTAGCTGGGCATGGTGGCGCGTGCCTGTAATCCCAGCTACTCAGGATGCTGAGGAAGGAGAATTGCCTGAACCCAGGGGGCGCAGGTTGCGGTGAGCCGAGATCGCGCCGTTGCACTCCAGCCTGGGTAACAAGAGCGAAACTCCGTCTCAAAAAAAAAAAAAAAAATTACCAAATTAGGTAAATAAAATTTAACTATATGCTGCCTACAAGAAATTTCACCTTAAATATGAAGACGAATAAATGTAAAGTAGAATGATGGAAGCTCTATCACAGAAACGCTAATGACAAGTAAGCTGAAGCAGTAATACTGCTGTAAAACAAAACAGATTCCATGGCAAAGAATATCACCAAGAATAAAAAGTAAGTACAACAATTATTTATATATAATTAAAACAATAAAGTGACTAATCATCAAGAGGCCACAATCTTAAACAAGAGTGGTAAACTACACATTACATAAAATGTACCACCTTAAATCTTTTTAAACGTACAATTCAGTAGTGTTAATCATCTTGTGCAATCATCACTGCCATCCATTTCCAGAACTTTTTCATCTTACAAAATTAAAACTCTACATACACTAAACATTTATCTTTCCCTTCTTCCCTCAACCCCTGGAAACTGCCATTCTATTTTCTGTTTCTATAAAGTTGGCTACTTTAGATACCTCATGTATGTGGAATCATATACTATCTGTCTTTTTTTATCTGGATTATTTCAGTAAGCATAATGTTTTCACGGTACATTGATGTTGCAGTAGATATGAAAATTTCATTCAATTTTATGGCTGTATAATATTCAATTGTATGATATACCACATTTTATTTATTTATTCATCTTCTGATGAACATTTGGGTTGTTCTCTCCTTGTGGCTATTGTGAATAATGCTACTATGAACTTGGATATAAACAATCCTAAATTTTTATATCAATAATTGCAGAAATTCAAAATACAGGAAGGAAAAGTTGATAGAACTGTAAGAAGAAATAAACAAATTCATAATTATAGCAAGCGACTTCAACACCTCTCTCTCTCTCAATGACTGATACATTAAGTAAACAAAAATCAGTGAAGGTATAGAATACTTGAACCATGTTATAAAAACAATTTGAACTAATTGACATTTATGAAACACTCTACCATATAACAGCAAAACATATATTTGTTTTAAAGTTTGCATGAAACATTTATCAAGATAAACCATATTCTGGTCCATAAAGCAAGTTCAATCAATGTATACAGACTTAAGTCGGCAGTAAATCGCACTGCCACGTGAGTACCTATGCAACTATCTTGCATGTTCTTCACATGTACCCCAAAACCTAAAATGCAATTTAAAAAAGGACTTAAGTCATACAAAATATGTTCTCTAAGCACAATGGAATTAAATGAGAAACCACTAACAGAAAAATATCTGAAAATGCCCAAATATTTAGAAACTAAACATGCTTCTAAATAATTGATGGCTCAAAAAAAAAAACTCAAAAGGAAACCAGAAGATATTTTACACTGAATTAAAAAGAAAGTATAACTCATAAAAATGTGCTAGAGGCAACTGAAGCAGAACTTACAAGTTTGTAGCATCGAACAGCAAACACCTGTATTGGAAAACATGAAAGTTCTCAAATCAATGACCTCAAGTTTAGGAAAGTAGAAACAGAAGAGCAAATTAAACCCAAAGAAAATATAAGAAAAGACATGTTAAAGATGAAGACAGAAATCAATGAAGTAGAAAACAAAATTTAAAATAGAGACAATGAAACCAAAGTTAGTTCTTTGGCAGGATCAATAAAATTGGGAAATCTCTAGCCAGACCAATAAGGAAGAAAAGAGAAAAGACATAGATTACCAATATCAAGAATGAGAGAGGCGGCTGGGTGCTGTGGCTCACGCCTGTAATCCCAGCACTTTGGGAGGCTGAGGTGGGCAGATCACTTGAGGTCAGGAGTTTGAGCCTGGCCAACAGAGTGAAACCTCATCTCTATCAAAAAAAATACAAAAAATAGCTGGGTATGGTGGTGCATGACTGTAATCCCAGCTACTCAGGAGGCTGAGGCAGGAGAATCGCTTGAACCCAGGAGGTGGAGGTTGCAGAAAGCCAAGATTGCGCCTCTGCACTCAAGCCTGGAAAACAGAATGAGACTCCAACTCAAAAAAAAAAAAAAAAAAACACGAGAGAGGTGAGGTCAATAGAATCTGTCTTTGTTAAAATGTTAATAAGGGTGTATCACAAATTTTTCTCCAATACATTTGACAATGAGATAAAATAGACTAACTGAAAGACAAACTACCAAAGCTTATTCAAGAAGACATAGATCACCTAAATTGCCTTATACCTGTTAACAAAATTGAACTTATAGTTTAAACATACTCACAAAAGAAATTTTAGATGGCTTCACTGGTGAATTCTATGGAATATTGGCTTCACTGGTGAATTCTATGGAATATTGGCTTCACTGGAATTCTATGGAATATTGGCTTCACGTAGTTCAAATCTTTTTTTCAATATCTCTCATAAGGAGAAATACCAAATATTTAAGGAAGAAACAATACCATTATAGACAAACTCTTCCAAGATTCGAAGAAGTAACAATACATTCCAACTGATATTTTGAAGTCAAGATAACTCTTATACAAAACCAGAAAAAAAAAAACAAAAACAAATGTTATAACATTAGACTAGGTGTGTAATTCCAGTACTTTGGGAAACCAAGGTGGGAGGGCCTCTTGAGACCAGGGGTTTAAGACCAGCATGGGCAACATAGTGAGACCCTAATTCTACAACAAGTAAAACGATTAGACTGGTATAGTGGCACATACCTGGTATCCCAGATACTTAGGAGGCTGAGGCAGGAGGATCACTTGAACCCAGGAGTTTGAGGTTATAGTGAACTATGATCATGCCACTACACTCTAGCCTGGGTGACAGAGCAAGACTTTGTCTCTAAAACAAAACAAACCAAAAACATTACAAAGAAGTAAAACTACAGACCAATTCATCAACATTATTGCGGAAATTCTTAACAAAACTTATGCAAATCAAATACAACAATATATTTAAGGGATAATATGTCATGAATAAATGCATTGTATTTCAGGAATTCAAGCTTGATTTAACAATAGAAACGTAATAATATTCACCATATTAACAAACCAAAAAATGTAAAACCATGCGATCCTCTCAGTAAGAACAGAAAAAGCATTTGACAAAACACCGTCAAATCCATTTCCATCATCCGATCATATCCACTCATCAAAGGAGGAATTGGAGGGCACATCTTCAACCCAATAAACAATATCTACAAAATCCAACAGCTAAATCAAATGTAATTGTAAATGATTGAATATATTCCCCCTAATTTCAGAAAGAATGCAAGGATTTCATTCTCACCACTTTTATTCAACATTATACTAAATATTACATCCAGTGCAATGGGCAACAAAACGAAGTAAAAGACACTCAGATTGGAGAGAAAGAAGTCAAATTGTCTTTATCGGGAGATGACCTGACTCAGTCTTTCATGATTAAGTGTGATGTTAACTGTGGGTTATCTGTAGATGTCTTTTACCAGGTTGAAGAAATTCTCTTTTAATCCTAGCTTGTCTAATGGTTTTATCATAAAGGGTATTGAAGTTTGCTAAGTACTCATTTTGCATCTACTAAATATGTGTTTTTTTCCTTTATCTTATTGATATGACATATTATTCATTTTCAAATGTTAAATGAACTTTGCATTCCTAGGATTAATCCCATTTGGTTGTGTTGTATAACCAACACAACATACATGCTGTTGGACGTGGTTTGCTAGTAGTTTGTTGAGGCTTTTGTTTATGAGTCCGCAAGAGATGTTGGTCTGTAATTTCCTTTTCTTTTTTTTTGAGACAGAGTTTTCGCTCTTGTTACCCAGGCTGGAGTGTAATGGCGCGATCTCGGCTCACCGCAACCTCCGCCTCCTGGGTTCAGGCAATTCTCCTTCCTCAGCCTCCTGAGTAGCTGGGATTACAGGTACGTGCCACCATGCCCAGCTAATTTTTTGTATTTTTAGTAGAGAAGGGGTTTCACCATGTTGACCTGGATGGTCTCGATCTCTTGACCTTGTGATCCACCCGCCTCGGCCTCCAAAAGTGCTGGGATTACAGGCTTGAGCCACTGGGTATCACAGTGGTATTGGCATCATAATGAATTAGGAAGTGTTACCTCCTCTCCTATTTTTTTGATGAATTGCAAATAATCGGTATAAATTCTCTAATTGTTTGGCAGAATTCACCAGCAAATCTCAGCTTTGGCATTTCTTTGTGGATAGTTTTAAAAATTACCAATTCAGTACCTTAACCTGTGGTAGGTCTATTCAGATATTCTATTTCTTCTTGAGTCAGTTTTGATACTTTGTGTTTTTCTAGGAAAGTGTCCATTTTCTATATGTTATCTAATTTGTTGGCATACAGTTGTTCTTAGTATTTCCTAATAGTCCTTTTATTTTATTTCTGTAAGGTTGTAATAATGCTGTCTCTTTATTACTGATTTTCATAATTTGAGTTCTCTGTCTCTCTGCCTCTCTCTCCCTCCCTCCCTTCCTCTTCAGTCTAGCTAAAGATTTGTCCATTTTGTTGATCTTTTCTAAGAACCAATTCTTGGTTTTGTTGATTTTCTCTATCATTTTTTAGCCTCTATTTCATTACTGTCTACCTTAATCTTTATTATTTTCTTCCTCTGCTTGCTTTGAGTTTAGCTTACTCTTCTTTTTGTAGTTTCTTAAGGTATAAATTTAGGTTATTGGTTTGAGATCTTTCTTCTTTTTAAACATAAGTATTTATAGCTATAAATTTTCCTTTAAGCATTGTCTTCAATACAACCCATAAGTTTTTGGAGTGTTTTGTCTTCGGTTGCATTTATTTCAAAATATTTTCAAAACACCATGTACCCCATAAATATGTACAATTATTATATGTCAATCAAAAAGAAAAGAAAAAAATACTAATTTCCCTTGTCATTTCTTAATTGGCTCACTTGTTATTTAAAAGTGTGCTGTTCAGCTGGGTGCGGTGGCTCATGCATGTAATCCCAGAACTTTGGGAAGCTGAGGCGGGTGGATCACCTGAGGTCAGGAATTCAAGACCAGCCTGGCTAACATGGTGAAACCCTGTCTCCACTAAAAAGTACAAAAATTAGCTGGGTGTGGTGGTGCACGCTTGTAATTCCAGCTACTTGGTAGGCTGAGGCAGGAGAATCGCTTGAACCTGTGAGGCAGAGGTTGCAATGAGCTGACATCATGCCACTGAAGTCCAGCCTGGGCAACAGAGGGAAACTCTGTCTCAAAAAGAAAAAAAAGTGTGCTGTTTAATAGCCACATATTTATGAAGTTCCCAATGTATATTTTGTTGTTAATTTCTTTCTTTCTTTTCCCTTCCCTCCCTTCTCTTTCCTCTGTCCCTCCCGTCCTGCACCCCTCCCCTCCACTCTACTCTCCTTTCCTTTCCTTTTGAGATAAGGTCTTGCTCTGCCACCCAGGCTGGAGTTCAGCGGCATGACCATGGCTGTAAGAAGCTTCAATCTCCTGGGCTCAAATGATCCTCCCACCTCGGCCTCTTGAGTTGCTGGGACTACAGGCACATGCCACCACTCTGGGTAATTTTAAAATTTTTTGTAGAGATGGGGTCTCACTATGTTGCCCCGGCTAATCTCGAACTTCTGGGCTCGAGCAATCCTCCCACCTCAGCCTCCGAAAGTGCTGGGATTACAGATGTGATCCACTGTATCTGGCTGTTAATTTCTAATTTTACTCCATTGTGATCAAAGAACATACTTTGTATAATTTCAATCCCTTTTGAAATTACTTTTTGAGATTGCTTTTTTCAAAAATCCTTTTTGAGATTATTTGTATAGCCTAACATATGATCTGCCCTGGAAAATGTCCCACATGCACTTGAGAAGAATGTGTATTCTGCTGTTGTTAAATGGAGTGTTCTAGATAAAAAAGTTCAACTTTTATTACATCTCATTGTTTTGGTCTTAAACGAGTTTTACAAGGTGCAAAATAGTAATGCTCTCCTTCAACTCATTTTCAGCTCATATCAGGCTTTTTCCCCTTGAGCTCTGTTTGTTGTGGCCTGATGCTAACAATGTTTCCTTAAAGGTCTAAAGGAAATGTTTTCTTCTGACATAATATTCTTTGCACTGCAGAAAGTCTTTTCTTTGGCCTTTTCATTACTGGCCTAACAGATTTTATGTCTTATCAAATAATTCCTATGACATTGTTATTAAATTTTGGTTTGCTTAGAAAAATCTGAGATTAAAAAATCTTTTTTTCAATTAAGATTATTACATCTGTGTATCTTTCTGTATGTGCTTTTAAAGTCCTTGTAACATTGAGTTACAGGGCTTTGACTCCTGGGTCTAAAAGGGACATCAAGTCCTGCTAACTCTTAAACTCTGATAGCAATTAAATTATCATATTCAGGTCCAGTAGAAGGTGCCAATCAAAATAAACTGCATTCCTAAGACACAGAGCCAGAAATTAAAGATACGCAACTCCTCAAGGTCCAGGGAAGAACACAGGAGAGGCAAGTGCATGAGATTTTAAGGGCCAATTTTAAGAGATAAAAGTTCAGTTTCTCTATAAATTAACCATCAATGTCAAAGGCACACTGATGCAACACCAGCACATGATGCCAGATTAACAAGGTTTTTTTGAAGCATTAACTGACTTGTTATTAAAGGTTATAAAGGTTATAAAAACACTTATGGATATTAGATCTTATGGTCAAAATTAACATTTTATAGATTGTTTATAAAATTTTGAAAAACAAATTTAATTGGCTTCATGCTGCTTTTATTAGGGTTTATTGTTTGGAAAATTAAGTCTCATATCAAAGAATAAGGGTTTTCATCTTTAAAAAAAATCTTTATCACTTTGGTTAAATAAATCACTTACTTTATATTGACCTCTGATCCTGTTTTATGATATCAAGTATTTTAAACCTTTGATATTTGACAGACTTTTCAAAATCAAATTATACATGTCTTTTTCTGACCTAATTAATCCTTTTAGATGTTAGTTTTCCAAAAATGACATGTTTGGTTTATTTGGTACAAAAATTATACAGGAAGCATTGTCAAACATGAAATGGTTTGGTTTTCTTTGGGCTGTATTTGTATAAATATGTTATTGGTATGTGTTCCAAAATTATGGGAACTCCTATATTCTGTTATGACTCAGTATACATTGTTAGTAATAATAATTGTTATGTTAAATTTTTGTGTGCCACAGAGGTAACAAATTTCCTTGTTAATTGTATCTTTGACTGTGGTTGTTCTAAAAGTTTTTGTCACCCATGGACGATTGTCTTGTTTTGGTCCTCCTTAGAAGATGGTTTTATAATCTGTTATAAAACTCTAATAGGTGCTCTTGAATGCAAGTTTCTGATAATTTTGGAGATTATGACATCAGAATAGAAGAAAAACTTTCAGGACTCACGGAGAGCTAAAATGTTCATGAATATCAAGCAGAACTATAATTAACTGCATGGATTGAACTAACAGATGACTGAAGTAATCTTTTTAATTTTTTGCTTAAAATGTTACTGATGATGTTTTGTTTTGTTTTTTAGAGTCAAAGGAACTTTTCTTTTGCACCATTGACAGCTTTTAACAATTAAATATACTCCTACAAACAAAATTTGGAGCATATTTGTTTATCTCTACCTGATTACTCCAGAATTTGGAAACTATTTTGAGTATTCTTAACTTATGGCTATATAGTTATTTGCATAGGTACAATAAGAATGTTTTCATTTGTAACAGGACATGATTGGAGAAACTGGTTATTTTACCAAACTTTCACTGTAATGGTGTGCTTTCTGTTAAGGAATCAAACTTGACTTATAGAGCTAATGAAAGCCCCTTGGGAAAACTGGCCTCATACCTTATCTACATAGTCCCTGTATAGGGTTCTTAACCTGCGGTAAAAAAAATGAATGTCACTTTCTGACAAGCCCAGGATCCCCAAGTTATCTTAGGTTCCTCCCTTCTCAAGAGGGCAGGAATTCATCCAACTCATAGGTATTTGATGATATAAATCCATGGCTGGGCTTGGCTTTTAAAAAAGTCTTATCTGAGATTCCTTCTATAGAACAAAGTTCCATCAAAGCCAATTTATAAAGCCCATGTGAAGAACAATTATTTTAGCTGCACTTTATACAGACAATCTGGCCAAATATAATAAAGCAAATAGGTCCTACCATGATTTGTCTTTAATAAAAATGGGAAACTGGAGAGAGAAAAATTATATTTTAAAAACTAAAGTACATCTGTTATTAGATTCTAGTCTTGCCTATTTATTTTTATTTTTATTATTTTCTATAGTTGGGACTTAATTCTAATTTTTCCTGGCTACAAGTCTCCAAAATAATGTTTTCATTTTTTTTCTTTCTTTTCCTTCCCCCTTCCCCGATTTTTCCTAATTTGAAATCACTGAAAACTAAGCTGTGCTTTTGTAAAGCCCTACAAACTGAAACTAGACAACTTAAACTTCAAAAGAAAATAACAGCAACCTTTCACATACACAAGCCACTTTTATACCCGCCTCCTGATATATAGACTTCAGAGTAAGGTGGCCTGTATCAATTTTGTAGGCTTTTTTTCTGTTTGTTGTTGTTTTCCTCCTTTCTTCCTCCTATTTTCTCTTCACAGGACATGAGACTTCACAATCTGCTAAAAATGAGCTTTCCTAAGAACTTAGGATCCATCTGTCTAGGAATAAACTGTCTTAGCTGTGAGAGAGCAGATGAAACCTGAGACCAGGGATTAATTTTCTTCTAAAAATGCTTTCTCCAAAGCTTTTAAAAACAAAAAGGGGAAATGTGAAAGGAAGATAAATCTTTTGGCCTCAAAATCACTAACCTAAAGGGAGAAGTCAAGCTGAGAACTGCTTAGGGAGAACCTGCCTCCCATTCTGCTCAGTCACCCCTGTGCTCACTGAGGTAAATGCATATCTGATTGCCTCGTTTGGAGAGACTAATCAGAAACTCAGAAGAATGCAACCATTTGTCACCTACCTGTGACCTGGAAGCCCCCTCTCTGCTTTGAGTTGTCCTGCCTTTGGGGAGGAAGCCGTGTTCATCTTACATATATTGATTGATGACTTCTGTCTCCCTAAAATGTATAAAACCAAGCTCTGCCCTGATCACCTTGGGCACATGTCATCAGGACTCCCTGAGGCGGTGTCACAGGTGCACGTCCTTAACCCTGGCAAAAGAAACTTCCGAAATCTAGACTTGTCTCAGATAAGTGGGATTCACGGTGTACAATATGTTTTGACATGTATACACTGTGGATTGACCCATTTCATATTCCAAAACGTCCTTCTTTATCTCTAGTAACATCCTAGAGACAGAGCATTATGCTGTTAGAAGCCATACTAGTATTTCATTTAGTGCTCTGCATTACTTAGTACAGAGGTTTGTTATTATTATGTATGAAGTTTATTATGTGCGAAGCATTCTATAGTTCTCAATATACACACACATGCTCACATTCTCACTTATTATCTTAGCTTGCCCTCTAAGCTACCAGATCCATTTTCAAATTCTTTCTGTCCTTTGGAAATTCTATGGGTAAGTCTTAAATGGAGCAACATATAGCCTCAAGGGTCAAATCCTGGCACAGACCTCAAGGCAGGTGCCTGCTGAGGAAAGATCTTGGCCACACAATGAACTTATGGGCAGGATGCCCAGTGCCCAGCCAGGATCATGGCCTTGCTCCTTCTCTCTGCTGCCACATCCAGCTCTGTAGCTTCCCTGAGCCCAACTACACAAAGAATCTGCCACATATGCAGGGGATACACCAAGTGGCTTTCCAGCTGAAGCTCAGGAAGGGGAATCTGCAGATCTGCTTGGAGGAAAGGAGAAGTCCTCCACAATCCCCACTGATAGTTGAGTCTATCAATAACCCCTCACTCCAGCATCTGAACACCTACCCCAGGGATGGTCTGCACTGCCAGCCTCCTAGGGTGCCGTCGTTGAGTGCTGAGACACCACCAAGGACTCGGCCTCGTCTCCCTCAGTGTTCCCCAAAGGGTGGGATGATCTTCCTGTAATAACATTGAATGCCAAAGTTTACAAAAGCCATTCCCTTTTCAGTTTTTTTCCCCAAGACACTGTGATCATGTCAAAGAGAAAGCGTTTGTTTGTGCTACTGTCTTTAAGCCTAGCTGGAACTGATTAGCAGTAATGGGAGGCAGAAATGGGGTTTCCACTTGCGATAGGGATGTAAACTTTTCATTTTATATGCATTAATTTCAGTTAAAAAGTGAGTCCTTTGGGAGCCGTGGTGGCTCCAGCCAGTTGTCCTGGCGCTTGAGGAGGCGAGGCTATGAGTTCAAGGCCAACCTGAGCAACATAACAAGCTCTCATTGATTAACAACAACAACAAAAAAAGTGAGTCCTTTAAAGAAAGTTTTTGCATATTTAAATAATAATGGGGAGGCAAAATTCATGAAGGTGATGTTGACTGTGCTCAGAAATCAAAAGCAACGCCCAGCTGGGTACAGTGGCTCACGCCTGCAATCGCATCACTGTGAGAGGCTGAGGTGGGAGGATCGCTTGAGGCCGGGAGTTTGAGACCAGCCTGGGCAACATAGCGGGACTCCATCTCTATATTTAAATTAAAAGAAAACGAAGCCCATACATATGACCTGGGCGAATAGTTCACACCAAGTTATCTGGGCCATGTGTGCCCGAACCCAAAGGGGATTGCAGAGGAGAACATTTAAATCTGGGGCTCTGCCAATGTTCCTCAGTCTGAGGGGGCTTGAAAGCAGGTGTCTCAGTAAGGGCACAGGAACAGCAGCCTGCTGTGCGTGACCCCTGGCCTCGGCGTGGGTCTTGCCAAGTACACGGAGCGCAGCACCACGCTTCACCATTAGGTGGCGGATGCGCGTTCCCAGTATGAGCAGCGCAGATCCCTGGAGTGGCGTGGCCCTTTGCAGCCCGAGCAGCTGGAACAGGCTGGAACACGCCCGCCCTCTCGCGGCCCTTGCCCGAGGGGCCCTGCACCCCTGGAGCCGAGCTTGGCGAAGTCAGTCTCGGCCCCCTTCAAAACCAAATCTCAGAGCTTCTTGAGCCACAAGAAAATGAAAATAACCTCTAACGGAGATTCTTGACCTCATTTCGTGCGCAGACTGTTAGACTGTGGCACTCCTCTCAGAATCATCTTTTTTAAATCCATGAACTAGATGGGAATACATAACAAGATCTAGGACTTTGGAAAAATGAGCACAAGTGACTTTACCAGACCACTGCAATGACCATAATATGACATGAACATAACTTCCATTTCTACTGGTACTGCTAATACCACTACGGTTCATTTGCTGCCTGCATTCATAATTGAAGAAAATCCCAAGTATCACTTAAGGATTTAATTATTTTCCTTTTCAAGTTCAGGGACTCCGTAAATTCTATGCCCAAGGCTAAGGAAGCTTTGGCGCCTGGCAATTTCCGGCAGGGTGGAAAAAAAATTAGGAAAAAAAAACACCTAGTGAAAATTGAGGCGGGATGGAAGAAACAAGCTGAGCACACCAGACTTCCCTGTCCGTTTCCTGTTCTGCCCCACCTTTAGCACCCAGGGCCTCCTCAGTATCCACTCTCCACCTTGACCTTCAGGAACTATAGCAGTACAGGATATGCATGACCTTGGGGTAAATGGCGACTGGGAGGGGGCTGACATATCATCCAGGCTCAATCGTTCGGTTTCCAGACACTAAGACAGAGAAGGGAGTCAGCACCCAGCATCTCCAACTCATTCAGGCCAGAGCTAAGGATCCACGCTCCATACCCATTTCTCCATTTCAGACTAGGGAACAATTGGGAGGGGACTGGTAAGCCTCCCCAAGAAAGTGACATGAGCTAAGACTTGGAGGAGTCATGTGGATGTCAGGGGAAGAGCATTTCCCTCTTCCCCTGAGGGGAGGAGACATAGTGGGAACCATTCGCTCAGGTCATCTAGAGGCCTTGCTTTCTTCCTTTTACATAGTGATGGAGTCCCGCTGTGTTGCACAGACTGGTTTCAAACTCCCACCCTCAAGTGATCCTCCCACCTCAGCCTCTGAAAGTGCTGGGATTGCAGGTGTGAGCCACCGTGCCCAGCTGGGCATTGCTTTTGATTTCTGAGCACAGTCAACACCACCCTCATTAATTTTGCCACCCATTATTATTTATTTATCATTATTATTTTTTTGAGACCGAATCTCACTCTGTCACCCAGGTTGGAGTGCAGTGACGTAATCTCAGCTCACTGCAACCTCTGCCTCCCAGGTTCAAGTGATTCTTGTGCCTCAGCCTCCCAAGTAGCAGGGAATACAGGTGCACATTACCACGCCTGGCTAATTTTTGTATTTTTAGTGGAGATGGGGTTTTACCATGTTGGCCAGGCTGGTCTCAAACTTCTGACCTCAGGTGATCCACCCGAATCAGCCTCCCAAAGTGCTGGGATTACAGGTGTGAGCCACCGCATCTGACCCCATTATTATTTAAATATGCAATAACTTCAAGAAGAAAAAACAGCCAGCGCAGCAGCACTGGTGGACATGCCTGGCATGCTTCCAGAAGAAAGTCATGCAGCTAAGGTGGAGTGGAAGCATGGATGAGGTCGGAGAGGTAGCCAGAGACCTGATCTAGAAAA